TCATTTTGCCAGACGTTCTCTCGGCCAAAGGGACAAATCCTAGTGGCTGTGTGTCACCTTTTCCTCCTGCTCAGGAGGGTGAGGATCCACCTTCCTGCCAAGCTCAAGAACTCAGAGTACCTTCCTGTCCCTGAGAAGGAAGCTGGGCTATGCCATCCCTTCTGAGGCTGTCAATATAGAAACATATGAAAATAAGCACATGGTAAATCAGTGTAGGGTCATCATGACCGACTTACACCATGATGCACCCATGAACCAAGCACCTCCATAGCTGAACAAACTCAGGAGGTATTAATAAAGAAAAGATCATGGGTGTAGAGTGGGTAGCCAATCGTGCCTGCCATGAATATCTCAACTAAGAAATTGAGAACTCACAAGATGATCATGTTATACTTGGGCCTGAAAGCATCTTTTTATGAAAGCCAACTTCCTCTTTGAGTGCCCTCAGAAGGGACAGCTTAGCCCAATTTCTCTCCGAGACCAGGAGGATATTCTGAGTTGTAGAGCTTGGCAGGAAGATGGATCCTCACCCTTCCAAGCAGAAGGAAAAGATGATGCAGAACCACTAAGGATTTGTGACTCAGCCTAGAGAACTGGCAAAGCAAGATGGCGAAACAGTCTCGAGTGAAAAACAACTTCTCCCTAGCAGCCTGGGAACTCAAGAACGTTGGCACATCCCGTCTGCCAGGCCTACTTAGCCCTTTTCTGTACCCACATCCCATGCTTTGCTCTACAACTTAGCTCAATGTCCATTTCTTTCAAGAAGCCTCTCCTGTAACTGGTCAATCTGTGCCCATGGTACTACGTTCACACACTAGGTACGTACTGTGATTTACGCACATCTGTCTTTATGTCCATACCTTCTAATTCCACAAACACAAGCGATCACTGGAGCCAGGTGTCTCGATCTGAATAGTTACTGCTTCTGTCCACCTCTCCCCATCTCCATTACTGATAACCATAAATGTTCACTGCATGTGTGCTCCCTGCAGGAATTACGGTGAACATTTTATACTTCTGAACACATTTAACCCTTGCAACGATCCCACGAGGTAGACCATAGTAATTACTCTTTATATAAAGAAACCTAGATATGGAAATGGTAAGCAACTTGACCAGTTCACACAGGTAGTGAGAAAAGAATTCTTAGGAGTTTTCCACACTGCTACGTCATACACTGCCTCTCATGTAAATCATGCTCCATGTCACCTCAACTACTGAGACAATCCAGTCTGACCTCCTGAATGCACCCAACATATTCTTTACTCTATACCTCAAATGATCTTCAAAGGTAACAAAATAGGATCACGGTACAACCCTTCCTCCACTTCTCATGCCCAGCAGATCCTGCTGTGCCTCCCTGTCCTGCCTTTACCTTGTGTTACCTGTCCCCTCAGTGACACTTCTGGACTCCAGCCACTTTGATCTTTCCTTCTTTCCTACCCTAGGACTTTGGTGTAGCCTGATTTCTCTTCCTAGAAGAGCTCCTCTGCTTCGAGTCCTGCCTGCCTTCACATCTTTAACTTCTACTCAACCTTTAGATTCTTAAGGAAAAGTCACTTCCCACTGAACAAAACCTTCCTTTTATCCCCTATCAAGTTCTGATAGGTCTCGGCAGTCTGTCAATGTATCACTAGATTATCAACCTCACCGAGGCAATTTTTGTACTTTGCTCATCAAAATCCATCTCCAATGTTGGGCCTGGTATTTAGCTCAGAAATCAATCTGCTTTTATTAGGGCAACAAATCTTGGCTGCTTTGCTAAAGTGTACGCTCTTTAAGGTCACAGACCGGACTTAGGGAAGCAGTCTGCTATGGTATAAGAAATATGACCTTTGGTCCATATTTCAAAATCCAGCTATAATACCCTTTTATTTCTTTTTTTCTTTATTTTTGGTACCAGGGATCGAACTTACAACCTCATGCTTGCCAGGTCAGCACTTTGCTGCTGAGCTAAATCTCCAGCTCAATATCTTTATCTTTAGATGTCTGCTTTTTCAAGCCTCAGCTTCATCTGTCAGAGGGAGCAAGACACCATGCAGACTAAGAAAATACTGAAATTAACATGCTAGCAAAACTGGCTACAAACCGTCCTTGGATCTTTTTCCCCAGATGTACCTTTGTGTTCTGAAGACTCTGGCAGCTGTTCCCCGCTTCCCACCGAGTTCATCCCAGGCTGGGGCTTCCTTCTCTACCCTTGGCCTTCTAGAATACCACCATGAAGAAAGGTGCAAAAATGCTACAGTGAGCAAGAAGCTAGATTTGTCAGGGGCAGAGGAAAAAGGAGATGGACTGGGTTTAGGTTAAGTATGCACTAAGGGCCAGGCATTTCCATACGTCAGGTCATCTAATATTTAACATAAAGCAATCTGATTCTACAGTTGAGGAAACTGAGGCTCAGAGAGGTTAAGCATCTTCTCCTGGGTGTCAGAGCAGTCACTGGTAAAGACTCCAACTTAAACCCTGGTTTCTGTTTCTCCATGGGAAGCATTCCTGCCACTCAGGACACTGCCTCCAAAATAATTCTCTTCCTCACTCTTGTCTCATGTAAGTACACTTCTGAAGTCCCAAGACATGTTGACAGAAATTTAAGTCAGCCTGACCGTGGCCTATGTGAGAAGAATCAGGTAACTTAGCAATATTTGAGTACACGATTGCTCAAGGTTAATTAAATATTCACAAATAAATCACACATCCTGAAGTCTTTATTTAAAAAAAGATACATGCTGCTTAAGTAGAAAAATTAGCTATGAATTCAAAATACAACACACCAAAATGCTGCCTGGAAAATTTATTAAATTAAACTGATTTGGAATGAGCTTTAATTTAACAAACCAAGGATAGTTAAGTCACTAGCTTTCTGTGGACCTAAACTAATTTCCAGAAAATGAGGAATGAGGTCTAGTAGACAAAAGGAGGACAGAGGAAAACTGTGTCCCCTCTCTCTGAGCTGTTACCCCAGAGCTGGTCGCATCACACAACCACCTCCCACGGTTCCCTAATGTGTAATTCTCTCACTACTTGTGTCTGAATTCTCTGGTGCTGGTGTTTGGCTATCACCTCCTGGGGCCCACTCCAGGCCACCAATTCAGATTCTCTGAGGATGGTTCCCAGGAATCCACACACCTCTTGAATCACTCTAATGTTCCCACAAGAGCAGTTTTAGGATCTTGACAAAAATGTAAAGATCATAGTGATTTCATATTTATTTATTTCAATGGGATTTTTTTGAACCTTAGAAATTTTAAATAATAAATACTTTACCCCAGCCATCCCAAAGGTGAAACATTCCTTATTTCTACCTGGCGGAAATCGAATCTGGAAATGTGCTAACCTGCCATTCCCTTTAAACACAGTCAAAATTGATTCCCTGCCCCTGGGAGGAGGGCAATTGTTAGTAATTCATTGATTATAGATTTCCACCTTAAGTCTATGAGTTTCCACCTTAGGAATGGCTAGTTATTTTACCTCCTGAGGGAACAGCATGTTCTCTAAATTTATAACCTCCGTATGCTCCTTAGTTAAGAGCTGACTCTCCGACTCAACCATTAATTGCCTACACAGGGCTCTCTTTTATTCCTCTTCTGCATAAGCCCCAGGAAAGGCAGTTTTTAAAGATAACTTTCTTTTCTTACTCTGCAAGCTACTGCAATCCCCAAACCCACTCTTCCCTGCTACCTTACTCATTAGAATCCTGGACATGAGAGACTGATTTTTTGAAAGAAATCTAAGAGTAGATTAGCTCCTGTTACTAAACTGCTACCTCCAATCTTTCACCAGGTGGGCAGTCTCTGTACTGTAAGTTCCTGGGAATTGCCCCAAGTTCCCTGAAACTTGAGAGAGCTGTGTCCCCATGCAAGGATGCCCCAGTCTCAGGACCTACTGAACTGGGTGAGCACTGTGAGTTATGTCACCTTGGAAACACAACAGCAGGCTTCCCAAATATGCACGGAGAGATTATTTTTTTAAAGCACCATGTAAACAGGGTTTCTTTCTTTTTTTATCACCAAATGTCAGAGAAGAGGCACAATTCGAAACTGTCACTGCCTCAGTAATATCTTTAGGTAAGAACAGCCTTCAACCTGACAAACTGTAAATTTGTGTATTTTGCTAACCAGACTAAGAGTTGGGAAACGGCTAAAAAAAATACCCCATCCTCAGATTTATTGGTTTTTCTTCCGCCAAATGGAATAGCTTCACTTATGAAACTGGTCAGGGCCCACTGCTAAAACACAGTCACCACTTGTGTTTACAGCACAGTACATATTAGATATCAACTTACCGTTGTCATATATAAATCATTTTTGGAATAAAAGTATGGAAGATACACTCATAGAAGACATTTTGAACATTAAAATGGAACTGCTCGCTTTGATGCAAATGGCTGTGTGTGTGTGTGTGTGTCTGTGTGTGTGTGTGTGTCTGTGTGTGTGTGTGTGTGACAGAGAAAGAGAGAGAGAGAGAGAGAGAGAGAGAGAGAGAGAGAGAGAGAGAGAATAAATGTCTCTAGGCTGGTGTTACTAGTCAGCCTTACAGTTAGTACACTGGCCCTGCTGAATGACCAGGTGGATGAATTCAGTTCTTCGTTTGTTCTAGATTGGAACAGACTAACCAACGCTGACCCAATGACCCCTCCTCTGGTAGCGTTTTCATTAAAAGAATTCTCCCGGATTTACGGAGCACCTGCTTGTGCCAGGCGCCAGGCTCGATGCGTGGCTGCAGAGGTGTAGAGATGAATGAATCAGTGTCCTGGTCCACTGCCAACTAACTGCCTTCGATCAGGGAGCTCATCCTCACCTTCCTCCTGACCCCGCAGCCCGGATGGCCGGCTGGACACCAGTACTGGGCCGAGTCCTTCTCCTCCCCGGCTTCTTCCTGGAAACTCCCGGGCTGGCCCGGGACCCAGACCCTAAGGCAGGGTTCTCCCCGCGTCTACCAGTGCCAGACGCTCTCCCGGCGCTCGCGGGCCAGTCCCCGCCACCCGGCCCCGCGCCACTCACTCTGCCGCTGTCGCTCACTCCCAGGAGGTGATCCCGAAGCACCTCCATGGGGGAGGTCCAGGTGGCGTGGACGAAGGTCCCTCGGAAGACGTGCGCCAGGGGCGGCATCCGGGCGGCACACATGTCTGCGGGGGGCGCACGGCGAGACGCTGGCCCAGCGCTGCGGGCGGCTGCGGAGGACACCGGCTCTGCCCGGCCCGGGCTCCCGCTCCCCCGTCGATCGCCTGCCCCCTGCAGGCCGCGCCCAGGGGTGGCTCCTTGCCTCCCCGATGCCAATAGGATTTTCCTCCGGCGCGTCGGCTCCCGCTGCGGCGGGTGTGGTCTACCCCCCACCCCGCGTCCGCGCCGGCGGGTGCGCTCCGAGGCTCACTCGGACTCCCCCACCTGCCTCCAACCCGCCCGCCCGGACTTGCGTCTGCGCGTTCCCCTGCGCCCGGCGCTGACGGCCGCGCGTTCCTGAACTTTTAGCCCCGGTTCTTAACTTGCAAGAGGTCACGCACAGGTGAAAGGCGCTTTGGGGCCGCCTGGCCGACCACGCCGCTTTCATTTTCGGTTTCCGCGGGGCCGCGGAGCGCGTCCTTGTCCCACCTGAGGCTCCGGACGCGCGTCTTTCTGCACCGTCCCGAGCTACGCAGGCGCTCATCTGGGACCAGAGGTCCCTGCGTCGTCCACGAACAAGTCCAGGGCCGATTTTTCTCGTGTCTAAAGTAAATGCCTTGCTTACTTGCCGGGACACTATTTCTCCAGCTGGTCAGCGCTGCAGGCCAGGGTGCAGGATGGAAACCCAAGGGACTGGGAAAGAGAGACAGAGGGCTCTTCAGGGGTGGGAGAGAGACGAGAGGGAGAGGAGAGGAAGGGGAGTAAAAGCGCTCCAGATGCTCCATATGTGTGTACCACTTCCCCACCGTAGACGTGTTTATTATGCATCACGCAACACACTAGTACAAAAATAAATAAATAAAAGAGGCAGTGGACGACCAGGCGCCTGGGCCTTGCTGCTGCTGACCTCTTCCCCCTCGGGAAGGAGATGCAGCTTCCATGGGTTGTAGCGGGGCCGCAAGATCGGCTCCATCCCGTCCTGAGGCCACAGCTGGTCTCCTGCGGGGCTTTCCAGCACCTGACTCTTGCTTCTAATGCTTCCTGCCCTCATCCCTAGTTTGTCTCCGACGTCAGCGCTTTGGGGTAACCTTCCCCACCAACAGGCCGGCGGCTCCCCTTACACCCAGCCTCCCCTGCAGTTGCTAGGCCATGAACCTATTTCTTTTTTCTCTCTCTTCATTTGTTCCACATCCCTCCCCCAGTGACATCCCAGTGACAAAAGCACCGCCAGAGAAGTGACTGTCTCAGGTCTGGATGTCCCGTACATATTTATTGAGTAAATAAGCCGGTGGACCAATGTTTTTTTCTGCAGGCAGAGCAGTGGCCTGAGATAAACATGTACTTGGACTCCTGCTGACAGCGCGAGGGTTTCATTGTAGTGCTGGAGCCTGCTTTCTGTGAATCACCGTGTTTGACACAGAGCTGGCAAATCCAAATGACTCATGCCCTTCTCGCTTCCTGTATCTTCCCCACACCGAGGTGGACCGTCTAGTTCTGGTTTAAAAAGGAACTTTTTTCTCTCTCCTCAGCTCTCAGGTCTCAAGTGGCAGAAAATCCTTTGCCGCCAGTGGCCAGGGCGGTGACTGCACCCTGGGGGCGGGAGGAAGAATCCCTGACGCTGACGTTATGACAAGCGCCTTTCTGGGTCTGCGGACCAGGCTCCCTCCGTGCAGTCCCAAAGCGCGCGAGGGCATTCCCCGCCGGCCTGCGTGTGTGCGCACACGCACCGCCAGAAGCAAGGGGGAAGACGCGTTTGCTTTTCAGCTAAAAACGGGTTCAGTTAAATATTGTAGCAGCATATACCAGTTCCCTTAAAAGACACAGCTACTGAGAGCAGCCTAAAGGTCCAGCTGTGATTTAGAATGCAGTATACTATGACTGAGAGTCGGGACATCACCTGTGGTCCCAGCTCCTTGAAGCAGGAGGATCCCTCGAGCCCAGGAATCTGAAGCCAGCCTGGGAAACATAAGATGTCCCTATCGTGGAAGAAAAAGAAAAATATGTATAATGCAGTTATTAAAAAAAAAATAGGGTAACTGTGGCCACATGGGAAACGCACATGATATTAAGCTTTTAAAACGGTATTTATGCTGTGAGGAAATCGTTAAAAGCTGTAGGGGTACAGAATTGAGCAGGTGCATGAAACAGTGGAAACTGTTGAGATCCTGAGATCACTAGGGTGTTTGGGGTTCATGTTCATGAATGTTATCAGGTGTTCGTGGCATGAACAGTCCTATGCAGCTTTAATCTCTTTTAAACAGAAGGAATGGCCGTGGGCCTCCAGCTCTCTGTGCATTAGCAGCTGTAGCAGGTTGTAAAGCGAGCATTAGTGCCTTTGGACCGTGCACAGCTCTGCTGTCCAGTTCCATTCCCAATCAGCAAGCTATGGAGGGTCAGAGGAAGAAAGGAGCATTGAGCCTTCAGATCCACCTTCAAAGCACAGCGCAAGTGTCACGTGGTGTCACTGGCGTTAGCAGAAAGACTTACTCCTGGCCAGGACCATCCTGAGGGAGCCACTGGCTGCCTCCTCAGATTCATCCCAGCCCCCTCTCACACACACACACACACACACACACACACACACACACACACACAGATCTGCTCTGTTGGTGCCCTTCCCTCATCCCCCCTATGAAAGTTTCCCTGTGACAGGCTGAGGCAGGAGATGGCAAGCTCAAGCCCAGCCAGGGCAACTGAGTGAATCAGTGAGACCCTGTCTCAAACGGAGAAATAAAGAAGGTTGAGGGTACTGCTTGATGAGAAAGCCCTGGGTTCTATCCCGAGACCACAAAAGAAAATATACAGAAAGAAGCTTCAGATGAGATGCTTCTGCCAGCCCACTGTTCTCTCTCTCTCTCTCTCTCTTTCTGCATCTCTCTGTGTGTCTCTGTCTCTCTGTCTCTGTCTCTCTCCTTTTCTCTGTTTCTCTCTCTGTGTCTCTCTGTGTGTGTCTCTCTCTGTCTGTCTGTCTGTCTGTCTGTCTGTCTCTGTCTCTGTCTCTCTCCCCTAGTCTTCCCCCTTTTGGATGCTGGGATGCTATAATTTTCCTTTCTTCATCTGTCTCCTAGAGGACTGTGTTCTCCAGGAAAACCTTCCCTCCCTCTTCCTTTCTTTCTCTCCTTTACTTAATCTTGCTTGCCTATGGGATGTTCTGAGTAGAACACTGAATTTCAAAAGATGGTTCTGTCTTATCTTTTAGTGATAACTAACATTATATTCTGGGTGATTGCTAATAATGATGAATGACTCATTGGAACTAAGACTTTATAAAGAGCTTTATTTAATTATCCAACATTTTATCCTGAAAATTTTCAAACATACTTGAAAAGACGAAATGTTTTCTCAAGATCACAATTCTCCCTACTTTAAATGGACCTAAGTGCTACCCCAAATCCCCAATAATTGGCTGGGACCAGTATGTTTTAAACCTCTAAATGCCAGAGTCAAAGGACTAGATTATTGGATAATCGGATTAATCTCGACCACGCAGTTACACCATGCAGAACCTCCTGCTTGGTAGAACTTGACTGAATAGATATTGTCTTCTATCTCATTTTGATTCTCGCAATTTTATACATGTGAAAGAGGATGTACATTAGCCATTTTACAGATGAAGACAGAGGTCAGGAACGCTGGCTTGCCTAACCTTTTAGTAAGGGGCAGACCCAGCTCTGGCCACCAGCTGTCCTCACACTCCCTCTCACCATGACACACTACAAGGAATTAGCTGATCCAGCTGATTAGTGCAGGATCCACTCGGTCCTGCACTAGGTTGTAGTCATCTGTCACTTCATACTATACATGGTTTTTTGACATTGCTGATGACGCACAGCTCTCACCCAAAACGAGAACAAAGTGGAGACAAATGAACCTTGAAGTGAGCACAGTCAGATCAGCACAGGTCAGTGGTGGGTCCAGGGAGAGCAGCTCCTGTTTTCGTGAGGCACACGGTGAAGGGAAAGCAATTTTAAATAAAAGCCCACTTTTCTCCTCCTGTAAAGGAGAGAAGTTGTCACTGCACAGTGAAATAAATGCCTGTCTATTTTATTTATTCTTTTAGTGTAGCTAAATCTATCAGTTTCCATGGTGCCCTGTGTTCACCATGGAAACTCTGACAAGCTCATTATGCTTTAGGGGGAGAAAGATACACCAAAAAATTAAGATGGGATAAACGCGTTCCTTTTAAAACTGTATTCTTCCGAGTGGGAAGCTTTGATGGGTAGCGAATCATGATGATCTCAATTTTCGAATTCTTAAGTGAGAACACAGGTGTGCCTATCCATCAAAAATACTCTCGGCTTCCCAGAATTACTTTATCTGTGTAGCAGTCAATATGTCTGTATCTCACTTGTGTATTTACTGCTCCAGAAAGATGATCCAACCTTCATCTCATCCTTCTGTGTACAAATACAATCTTAGCCCCGATATGTATTCCTCGTCTGTTTGTTCATTCAAGTATGTATTTACAGCACGCCTGTGGTTATAACTGCGTATGAAGCAAACATTGTCCTGCCCATGTAGGACTCACACCAGTCTTTCTCTCTGCCATGTCTGGGAGAAGAAATCAGTAGCTCTCATAGCCCAGCTCTGATTATTTCCCTGGCATGGTTGGAGGATGACAGGTAATAAATACTACCTTCCAGGTTTCAAGTGGTATGAATTTTATAACAGGCACCTAAGACTGGAGAGCTATCCTGAAGTATAGCATTTCTTCAGCATATCTTATTTTTCAAATATCTTTTATTTTTAAGTATTTTATAACATTGACATGCTTTTTTTTTTTTTAAGATTTGAGCATTTAAAGAATCCCTTTATGTCTTGCCATCCAGATATATCATCACTACTAACACCCTTGTGTTTTTCTTTAAAAAGCCCAAATACACAAAAGGCAAAAGATAATAAGCAGTTTGCAGAAGGGAAAAGCAAGCTAAAGAAAAGCCACCTCTACTGTGTAGGGCAGAAGTTACAACCATAGAAATGCATACCTGTTACTGAAATTCCAAGAAAGAAAGGAAAAATTTAGAATGAAAGCAGCCTAAATTAGGTTTTAGGTTTCCTGGTGGCAGATTTTTTCCTCCAGATGGAAGGCGGTAAGTACCATGTAAGGGGCTGTATCCACCTTTTACTCATTCCACGGATACCTAGAATCAGTGGCACTTTGGAAGAACTGTTCCACCATGGTAGTGAGCTCAAAGCAAGACCATTAGCCTTGATTTACTTTGTCTACATTTCTGATGTAAGAGGGGTTATAAAGACACTTTATTATCAAAGGACAAGCAAGGAAGAA